TGTCACTTGGCTATTCAAAAGGCAACTTGGCCATAAGCCATCGGCTTGGCCCCTACCGAATTACTAGTCGCCGTCGGTGATTATCCTAAGCTGTTGTTAGCCTACGGCAGTAACAAGCATTGGTAGGGTTTAAACAAAAACAAAAACCAAACACAAGTTATGGAACAAAACGTTACTTAAATTAACAGATGCCCTCGGCAACAATGTGTTCGGAACGGCTTGAAACGGCAGATAAAAATTAAATTACAAATACCAAATGAAATTACAAGCCAAAAGGCGTCAAACGGCATCGCCCCCGCCGTCAGCCTCAACGCCTTCATCAACCAAAGCACCTCCAGAGGCCTCCTCCCCTTCATAGTCCTCAATCATCTCTTCAGTTATGCCTTCGGGAAGGGGAGGAGGATCGGCAGCAAAGTTACTAGGAAAAGGTGTAGGCATGTTATGGTACCTTACCTGCATTGCTTGAATAGAAATCCAATCAAGGAAAGTGGATAAAACACAAATTGTAGTCATCATATCCGCGTTTTTGTTCGATTAATGATTGATATCTTGAAATGTATATGAATCACATGTATATTTCCATATTGATATCTTGAAAGTCATTTCTAGTACCATAATAGAACAAAAACAAAAACAAAAAAGAAAGTTGCGAATCTCTACAAAGAATTCTTGTTCATTCTAAAAAAATATCTCATCAAGTACCCGCATGTTAACTAACCTAAAAAGAAATTGAAAAGTCAAAATAATATGCCGAAAATTAAAAAAACTAAAATAAAAATTCAGTTAAAAGAAGAAAAAAAAAAAAAAGGGTCCCAAGCATCACGGGCCTATTTGCTTTTTTTGCACGAGGAGAGTGTGAATCTTTGGACTTTAAGTAGGAGAGAGAGTGCTGGGGTAAGGAGTTTTTCATGGGTACGTAAATAGTTTACTGGTTGGTACGTAAATAGTTTACTGGTTGGTAAATGTAATGATGACAATATTCAAATACATTAACTTGGACCTTATTTTTTTGGTTGCCGTGGAGTCAAAAGAGTTTAGGGCTTGCTTTGAGCACTTGGGTACTTATATTATCTTAGGGATCAATGGAATTTCTCTCCTAATCTCCTCAAACCAAATCAAAAATTGTACGGAAACCATCAGGTTTAAACACACATGAACCAAAGTTATTCCACCGACCTTGAGAACGTCATAGCGTGAGCAGGAAGCTCAGTATAGTCAGTCAACCTTGAGAATTTGCCATCAACAAACTCTCTAGATAACTTTATAAACTAAATCGACATATAGGAGCTCCTTTAGCCTATTAGACAATCATATCATAATCCCAAAGCACCTGGACCAATATTCTAGTGCTGGAGTATGAGAGGTTGGGTGGTGGGCGCAGGGGCAGGGCGGGGACATGCATTTTAACAAAAATTGGCCGTCGCACGCATCACCCATTAGACAAGCAACCAGTGACGAAACTAGAAACTTTGACAGGAGAGGCACCTCAAATATTAAAAAATATTTTTCTTACAGTGACATTTGAACTAATTTTTTACTTGATACAAAATTCCAAAATTTAATTATTATACTTTATTATTTTACACTCACAAAAAACTCACAAAAAAATGTCCACTTTGCATGACTTCAATTCTAGTAGTGGAATAAAAATCTCCACTTGATCGTCTTATGGCATCTGTTACTAATTAGCAATTTTCTTAACATGAATTTATAATTATATTTTCAATGCTTTTAATGAAATTTTATTTTATATCCTAATTAAAACATGAAAGTCCATTGTGTTTTTCTGAATCATCAGGGTTGGAAGAATCCCTAATATTCCGATTATTCTTTGGTGACTGATCCCAAATATTCCTTGTATACAAACAAAGTAATTAAAACTGCCGGACAAGATCACATTCGCAGCATGTCAAAAACAGAATATACAATGAGATCTGTGGTGGAGAATAGAAAGTTTTACTCATGTAAGCCGTCTAATAGGTTTTACAATAACTAGAAAGAGTTTATACAAATGCAGAGGAGTCCAATGGCAACATCAAATTCTCATATGGTATATCCACACATGGCTAAAGAAATTCTGGAATTAATATCATAAGCCGAAAAAATGCAAGAATCTACTTATATTATCCTCGCAGTAGTATTTGATGTTGCCAAAGTCTTGCATCCCAACTCTTCGGGAATTAACTGCTATAATAGTATTTTCATCAATGCTGTGACTGATACCTTTGTGTTTCAAGAAGCCATCTTGACCTTGGCCGTCATTGATGTAGACGTTGTGAAAGTTGAACATCCCAACAGATGAGGATCCATTGCGTGCTGTAATTTTATTTTTGAGAATATTGGCTTGGCTCCTGCTCAAGCCCCCTGCTGCTTTGCCGTGATCTTTAGTACTAGTAGTCTTGCAGTTGTAGTTGACGTTGCCAAAGTTTTCAAACCCAACTTTTGTGGATCTATATCTGCAGTAATTTTATTATGACGAATGTTCTTGTGACAGATATCTTCGAACTCACGGCTACCTTGCCCTTGGCCGCCATTGCTGAAGTCTTGTGAAAGCTGAATTTCCCAACATTTGACTCTCCATTTAGTGCGGTAATTGTTTTTTCATAAATCTTGTGACCTTCACCTTTGGGTTTCTTTCCTCTTTCACCACCTTGGCCTTGGGCCGCGTTGCTCCAGTTGAGATCGTCTGAGTTGGGAGACTAAATAATCCCAAAATCAGCTGCGCCATCGAGGCCTCTTATATCATTTGTGGCACTATATCTGTTGCTGGTGTCTTCTTCTTCCATTGCTGGCTGGAGCTTTAATAGGCAACAGGTACACAAACAAGATAAATTTTAATCATAATTCTATTTAAATTTTAAAAGATCAGAAACGATATTCGGATTACAAAAATCCTACAAAGCAGAAATCAGATTCAACAAGGACCAACAGAAGTCTTATATCTTGTTCTCTTGACTTGGACTAACAAATTCATGGACAAACCAAATCATTCAAAAATAAAAAAATAATAAGAATAAGTAACCAAAATTCCAATAAATACTCCCTTTTTTAAATAAGAAACTACACAAATTACTTATTTTTATTTTTAAATAAGAAAATACTCTTTTCCCAGCATTAACAAAGAAAAGAAAAGGGCAAAGTTGAAACTTACCTCAATGATATCAACGACCTTTCTGGAACTTTTGAGAGGCTGCAACGCCGTAATGGGGTGGCGGATCTTGTTGCTCCTCTAGACTGATTTGATCCATACCCAACCTCCTTTATTTCAATCTCCTTGTCCTATGAAAACCACGGAAAAACTGAATTATTTGAATCAAGCTTCCATTGGAACTGAAGTTCCAGAACAGATGTCCGCCGGGCCGGTGCCGGCAGGTAAGCGACCAGAGATGAAGAGGCTGCAGAGGCGAGCAGAAGAAATTTCGGAGAAATGAGAATCTAGGGTATAGATTTTCTTATGTAGGCGTGTATCCTGATGACTATTCTGAATCCGACTATACTTTTCACATTACATAATTAATTAGCATTTGTCATCATGCGATTACCTTTTTCTAATGATAATTTATTTAATATTGGTAGCAGCCTTCACCATTTCAATTTGGATTTACAAATTTTTTATGTCCCATCATGTGAAACAAACATGAACACCAATAGGAAAAACGAAATTTTTCCACCCACATAAAATACCTTTTGAGTCTTGACTATACTAATCCAAGTTGATTATCAGGACCTTTTGTTATTTCCTTTTTTCTCCTTAGCTCTATAAAAGATCGATGGGTCTCCAAATGAAGCTCACCTGCACAAGGAGATGGCAACAAAACCCTTTACTGGTTCCTCTAGAAAAGTTTCTGAAACTCAAACAGAACGCCCACAAAAAGAAACTGAAACAGTGCTCCCACAAAAAGGAACTGAATCAGAGCTCCCGCAAAACAGAACTAGTTAGGCACAAAATAGTAATAACGGGACCTGGAATATTCGTGAGAACGTAATTACCGCAGCAGCAGAAACATTGGTATTTTTGACTTCAACAACGAATATCATGAAGGTGGTGCTGTTGATCATCATCATAACATATCAACTGTAATATGAATTAGAAGCTAACATAAAGTGAAGATTATAATTGTACAACACATAACTAAAGGAAAAACTCCAAAAACATCATAACTTATGAATTGTAAGATGAATAAAAAACTAACATAGTCCATTAAATGGTGGCACAACCCAAATCGCTCTCTGAGAATTGGAGTGTAGAGAGTAATGTTGTGTGATGGTTCCGTCCTCTAAGTTGAAGATACCCATATCATATGGTTCATCACCCTCTAAGGATGGATAGTTTGATATGTAATCATCGCTGTAATATATGGAATTTGGTTGGCATCCAGGAAGGTTTGAAGCCAAAATAGAGATTGAATGATTGTCGCCCACGAACACAGCCTCATCTCCAATGCTTTTCACCTCAACATTGTGCCCAATACATCCTTCATCTTCATTGTCAAACACCCACTTGTAAATCACGAAGTGCGTAGTCCGCCGCCCAGCACCATGCCTAAACCTACCGTCAATTAACGCATAAAACCTTAAGATATGCAACAAATCTCCCTTAGTTGATTCCACAAGATATGCATGAAAACAATAAGGTTGAAATGGCTGAAAAGGTGTGCGCGGCTTCAGCTGTGGCGGCTGTGAAGGGTTATAATCACTGCTAAAAACATCCAATGACTCAATGTCTCCCATGGCTTCAAGTGCGTACACTTTGCTTTTATAGAATATAACATCACTAAAGTTACCATTTGGGCTGGGGTAAGTCCAAGTGTTTTGACCAGACTTGATGAAAGCCAACATAGGCCAGCGACCGTAAAGTGCTACTACCACATAATTCTCTGGATTCATAGTGGGGTCAACGGACAAGATAACCTTACGAACGTAATGCTCATGATAAGAGGTTTCGTACTTTGCGATAAGGATATCCAAGGGAGGGAGAAAGATGGGCTTTGCTTTTGTGAAGGGGTTCCTGAGTACTACCATGGGACATCCTTGCTCTGTTGTATCAACTGTGGCCAACCAGCCGTGGCTAGAGCCGCAACACCTCCTGCTAAAAGGTACTTGCAGCCGAATATTGTTATAAACTCTTCCTTCAGAAATGCTGTACACTACTCTTCGGTGGTCATCGTCCTGGTTTGGGATCAAGAGCATGGGGGGAAGTTGTTTATTGCACCACCGTTGCGTTGCTTGATTATAGAGTTTGGACATAGAACGCCATTGCTTGCAAACAGCAGCAAAATGAACATGGTCAATGGGTTCTAATAACTTATCCAGAATCAAAAAGACGAGCACGGGAAGACTTGCCCATCCCCCACAGCTGAAGCTGACAAAAGGGGTCCTATAAATGTTGTGACTGATACGTTCTAACCCAACTTTTGTGGATTCTTTAATACTAGTAGTCTTGCAGTTGTAGTTGATGTTGCCAAAGTTTTCTAACCCAACTTCTGTGGATCCATTTTCTGCAGTAATTTCATTCTCACAAATATTGTGAAAGATGCCTTTGAATTTACGTCCACCTTGACCTCGGCTCCAGAAGGCACGTACTTTGTTGTGAATGATGGACAACCCAACATCTGACTCTCCATTGGGTGCGGTAATTATATTATCATTAATATTGATGCTGCCCAAGTTGTGACCGTCACCTTCCAGTTTCGTTCCTCCACCGGCACCTTGGCCTTTTGCGGTGTTGCTCCAGTGGACATCAAAGATGCGAGAGGCCAAGATCCCAGCATGAAGGCTATTGGATTTGTTGATTACATTTTTAGGATATTGGTTGCTGCCGACGTCGTCTTCTTCCATTACTGGCTGGGGCTTTGGACTATGATGCTTGATGATCAGAAACGATATGCAAATTTGAACATAAGAACCCTACAGAGAGTAGAAGACGTTCTTTTAAGCTTTCATCAATGGCAGGTATGTACTAGTTCTGTTATGATTAATATTTTTATTTGATTCAAATTAAGTCCACTTATTTGAAGATCCTTTCCATTTTTTTCTTAACATATATATAAGATCGGACATGATACTGAATTCTTACAAAATTATACTTTGAAACAGAAACAAAAGGGAGACTAGAAGAACAAGCGAAGAAACCAAAATTCCAATAAATACTCCCTTTTTTAAATAAGAAACTACACAAATTACTTATTTTTATTTTTAAATAAGAAAATACTCTTTTCCCAGCATTAACAAAGAAAAGAAAAGGGCAAAGTTGAAACTTACCTCAATGATATCAACGACCTTTCTGGAACTTTTGAGAGGCTGCAACGCCGTAATGGGGTGGCGGATCTTGTTGCTCCTCTAGACTGATTTGATCCGTACCCAACCACCTTGATTCCAATGTCCTTGTCCTATGAAAACCAGGGAAAAACTGAATCATTTGAATCAAGCTTCCATTGGAACTGAAGTTCCAGAACAGACGTCCGCCGGTGCCGGCAGGGAAGC